TTGACGTCTAATTACTTATTAGAACACTGTGATTAACTAACCCATTGTTGTTTGCATTTCGTACATTCAAAATAGATAATCGGCTTAAAAAGTATCCAAATACAAACAGGAATTATTTGGCGACTTTTGCAGTTTGACGTTTTGCTACGTTTACTTTTATAAGTACCTCCTGTACACTGCATTATAAAATGTTTTTTTAATAGGTGCCTATCGCTTATGCTCTTGGAATTCACGTTCCTTCTGGCAAGCTCGTTTGGTTTTGCGGCAAATAACCGAATTCAATGTTAATTTCAAGGTAAATTGTTGGCGGTTAAACTTGTTTACGAACTGATAAATAATTTTAAAACAAATGCGGCCAAAGTGTAAAAACTTATTTTTTTTCGTCTTCACTTCAATTCCGATTTATAACAATTCGAAAATAAAAGAATAATTCCTGTATTCGTATCAATGGTCAGATCTTTTGATATACAGAAGTATATTTTGCTTTGCTTGAAATACGTATAAACGTACCTTTCTAGCTTAATGCATAATTACTTTATAGTCTTCATTACCTCATTGATGGTAATAATTAACTTTTGTGTTTTACATGCAATTTCTTCGGGGAAACCCAGTTTTCTGTTTCCTGACCAACTCCAATCAAACTTTTACTCTTACACAATTTGCATGATTATTAATTTTGCAATACAAATTTACAAACCGAAATAATTTTATAAAACTCAAATGCCTTCTCATCCATACGGTAATAAATATTTTGTAAAATATTAAACTAAAGTACGTAGTACAGGTACCTATATAACTTCTTATTATGTGTAATTTTCTTTTTTCGCAATTCTCTTGATATTTATACAGATTTTCAAACTCTGTTATCAAATTGATATAAATATAAACACTTCCAGTTTGAAACTTGCGCAATATTAAAGGGAAATCAAATATTTAGTTTCAAAATTATAAAATTTTCGTATAATTCGCATTCTTAACATTCTATTTTGTGTTGTGAACATAACGATTACTGAATAAATATCTAAATATTTGATTTAAAGATTTTGGTCATTCGCAATTTAATTCTGTCAATGTTTTGTAATATTCAATTAATAATTGTTTCTTTTTTTTTTATTAAAAAAATCTATGTCAGAAGTCAATTTATTGTATGCATATAAAAATGCCTATAGGTGAGGTGTTATGAAAATTTTATGTGTCATCATTTGCGGGTACTTTAGAGGGGAGGGGAGACATACTTTAAAAGTAGCTTTTCTTAATTACCATGTCTAACGTTAATTTCGGTAAATTTTAATGATTCAAAATGCAAGTTTTAAGTATTTTGCTTTGTTTATGTGCCATCAAAAACACTAACGTCGATTAGGTATATCGGAATAACAATTACATTATAAAATTTCTGCATTAAAAAACAGTTGCAAATCAGCTGTAAGTATCTATACATTTCTGAGACTTACTTCAATTTTTTATGCTTAAATAAATAAAGGGTATCACACCTGAACAACCAATTTTAGCCTAGAATGAAATTGCTTGACACATTTAATCCAATTGTTATCTGTAGTGATAAGTTTACATGATTCTGTTACTTTTGTCGAAAAAAAAAAGGGGTTGCAAGCAGAGCGCTAAAGGCCCAGCATGTCTGAGCGACTAACGAAATTTGTTGTGCGGTTCGCCAGCTTAAAATAAAGCTTCAGACGTGACTTCCTCCTGGTGCAAGATATGCAACCTAGAAAAATGCTAGTGTGCGTGTCCCAAAAACCGATGCACTATACGCTCTAGCCCATACGAGTATCGCGTCTAGTGCTAGACAATGACGACATCCTTGGCAAAGAAAAGGATAGCTATCATTGTCTAGTCTCTAGTCCTTCCTGATTGCGATCCGCCGAGCCACCTTACCCCGCGGACCAGTGCGTTTTGATACCCCCTCCACATCGATAGCCCTTCACCCCCGCATGTTGCGTGTGAATTGATACTAACCCCCCACTATACGTAGGGCTCGTTGAAGCATTTTACAGAATTCGTGCGGGCGTTTTGACGGAAAGTTGTACGCGTAAAAAAACACGCGCAGTGCGTGCACTTGTCTGCTGGACCGCTGCTGCTAATAATCCAGAGGTGCGCCTTTTTATTTGGACTATACGTTTCGAGACGATTTTTCCTCTGGAAATTCGAAAGTGCTAATGTTCACCTGAATTTTTAGTTTTTTGAGTAAGTTTTTTTCTTTGATTTATTTTTTGCATGCCCAAAACTTTTAAGCAAACAAATGTAAGTATTTCCCTTAATTTATTCAAATTTGCAAAAATTGCAATTTCTTGTTTATTTAATAATAATCTTGAATGTGCACATTTCAAAAAAGTGTATGATAACCAAGAAAAATTTTACTTAATTAGTGAACTATAAATAATAACAGTTGCAATTTTTTATTGTTTATATTTTGATCTCAAAACATAGATAATTATTTGACCAACAGTATTCCTTATAAAAGCGTTTGTGGTAGGTACTATGCAGATTAATCACAGAAAAAATATTTCAAAAATTCTGACATAAAACTACATTAACAATTTCATTTTGTAAGAATGGCACTATAGACAACTTACATAAATAAGGATGTATGTAAATATTTTTAAATTAGCATATGGTGTAATAAAGAGGGACGTCTACCAGTGACTAATTTTGACTTAAAAAGTAAAAAAATTTCAAATGCGATATATATTAGTTGTATAGATTGTATTTACATATATTAGTTTGTATAATACTATGCACTATACAAGCAGTAGCAGTAATTTTTTCTTCGTTATGCCATTATCGCTATAGCCTGTGGTTATTGTGTACCTATTCGTAAACTTGTGTGCACTTAAGATAATCGCCTGCGTAAGGTCACGTTGTCCATCTTTTTTTGAAAATTTTGCACTTTTATTGTCGCCAAAAGTCGCTCGCAGGTAAATAGTTAATGAGATTTAACAAAATTTAATAAACCTTTTGTATTTCGATTACATGTACCCAGAAATACCTAATTTTAATCGAATACGTAATATCTAGCATTAAATTAAATTGCTCGTACTTGTTTACTGAAATTATTTGTTTAAAATATTTATGCACCTGCAGTAATTATTGAACCCATATTATTTATCAAATAATTGTATTTTCTGAATTCATTTGTCTGTCTAAAATTGTTTTAATGAGCGAATGTTAAATCAATTTAATTAATTAATTAAGTTTTTTTTAATGTCATCTCCATCATAAGGTGGTCAGTTCGATAACTGGTTGGACACGCACCCCCACTCTTTTCTATCCCGAGGTAATCTTCGCATTTTCCTTGAACTACAACATCCTACATCCTTAACTATTTGTGAACGATAATCTAATCTTAGTCTATCTCTCCTTCTCCTCTTAACTCCTGCTTCTGCTTCTAATATGTCTCTGACTAGCCCTTCATGCCTGAGAAGGTGTCCTACCAACCTATTTCTTATTGACTTCGATAGCGTCCTAGTAATAATTTTTAATGCACATTACATAAATATCCACTAAATAGCCGAAGGAAATGGTTAATAAAATAAATAAAATATGCGAAGTCCAGTACACTCGTTAAAACATATATAAAAGGGATAACGTACTGTGTTGGGCACTAAAACCTTTGCAGGTATCCCTACGGAGATCGCACAAATAAAAGAATAAGGAAAATAAGTTTATAAGTTAATCCTATATTTAACAATTTCTTTTAAATTGAAAAATCCTTCAAGTTCGACATTATTGGTAATTTAACAAGATGCTCCTGTATCTATAGGTATGTAATGTTGAACTTCTTAGCAAGCCAAATACTTATAAACTATATTTTGGCAATGTCAGATAGCAAAAAAAAGGGTGCTGTTGTTGAGGGGTGCGAAACTTGAAGAACGCCAATAGGAAACGTGTTCTCATACGGGACAGGGTAAGTCGCACAGAATATCCAAATATAGCTGAAGTTGCGACTTAAGAGGGTGAGAGTGCGCATAGATAATGTGTGGTGGTTAAGTTTTAAGTAAAATTTTACTATTGTTGCGTTTTTAGTTATTAATTTTAAAATTACAATAACAAGAATATGGAATTATGTACGCTTTAAACCAATGACGTAAGTGAACATAGAGATAGAGAAGGAACAATATTTAAATAAGCAATTATAATTTGTGCTCAGACAAATACAGATAAGATTTTTCGACACTTTTGAAAATTTTAAGAACGCCAATATCTATCGAAAATGGTTCGGATTATAATTTTGTTTTTCCTATGTACAAAAACAGCGAAAGTAATTTGAATCTTGGTATTTACGAAAGGAAATTATTATTGAACAAGCAAACTATAAAACATTCACTTTTATAGCGTAAATGGGTATACGTAAGTTTAGTAATAGAGCGAAATATTTTTTAAGCTTTTGAAAAGTTGCTATAAAGACGTCGCCGCCGCGCCGTACACTTCACGGACATTCTAAATTTTAATGAATTATTAATTGAGTCGATATCTATCTATCTCTGTTGACGAAAGTATATGCCTAAAAATTACACTTTAAACACGTGTGCTAGAAGAAAAGGAAGGCGAGAGTCAAGAGTATAAGCTCACAAGGTCAATGGAATCGTTTGTTGACCGAATCTACTTAGCGAATTCAAAATTGAAATGACGAACCTTGGCAATAGTACGTAGCTTCGAAGACGGCTGAGTGTGGCAATGGTTGTAAAAAAATGCCTATTTCAGTACGTTGACATTTCACAACTCGGAAACGATGACTAGTTTACGTGAAAAAGATGGCTTTACAAAGGAAAACAATATGTTGTAGAAAAAAAGTAGTTTAACTAATGTGTCAATTATATTTATTTTAATATAGAGTATTTGCCAAAAGAAAAAACTCAATAAATATTTGTGTTTTATTTTAGACTTTCTTTCCCGATACGTTTGTTTAAAGCATTAAAAGAAAGAATTGCCTTAGACTCCCTAGAATGTAAATTTCCATAAGCAATGTCTCTTTTTACTGTTTTCAGATCGATCTAAATTGACCTTTTTAAAATTAACCGAAATGAGTACCACGGGTCAGCAATATTGTCTCCGATGGAATAATCATCGCACAAATCTGCTGTCTGTGTTCGATGAACTTTTACAAAACGAATCTTTTACGGACGTAACTCTTGCTTGTGATGGGGGAAATCCCGTAAAGTGCCATAAAATGGTCCTAGCTGCTTGCTCACCTTATTTCCAAGCCCTTTTCACTGGCTTGCCGTGCAAGCATCCAATTGTAGTGCTCAAAGATGTAAAATACTCAGAAATTAAAGCAATATTGGAGTACATGTACAGAGGGGAGGTGAATGTTGCTCAAGATCAACTGGCGGCTTTACTTAAAGTTGCCGAGGCCCTTAAAGTGAAGGGACTCGTCGAAGAAAATAGGAGCGGAGAATCAAATGTTTTTGGAAGAGAAAAAGACGAAGAATCTCTCTCTCAGCATTCTTCACCTTCTGTTAGTTGTTATTTTACGATTTATTTGATATAGATATTAATACTTAATGTGTTTCAGATAAGCACAACCAGCGCAAATATACAGATTGCGCAAAGCACGAGTTCTTCTTCTCCGCCTCATTCTACAAATACAATTCAGTACTCAAAGAACTACAATATATACAACAAATCGAGCGTCGAACGAAATTCCAGGATGAATCTCCCCATGTGGGCAGTACCTGGATTACCGTTACCACATCACCCACCTCCTATACCTCCTCAAAGTCATCCCCATGCCGCAGCCACAGCGGCTGCTGCAATGCTCAGCACCTGTTACGAAGCTGCAGCTACAGATATGTCACCACTCAAACGAAAGAAGTTGTCAAGCTTACTGATGAACAGAGATACTCCTATTTTAAGGACGGTCTTGGGTCAAGGTCAGGTCGAATCGTCCGAACCCGTGAGTCTCGTCTGCCACTCTGAAAACCACAGTTCACCAGGGAATGGTCCAGAGCAGGAATCTTCAGACAAGGTCTGTTGTTACATTTATTCTTAAGTGTCTTTCCCAATGTTCACTTAAAAAATTCGTTAGCTTATGAAAAACGAACCCTCTGAAGATGCTCAATCGCCATACACCGACTTCGCCATGATGGATGACGAAGACAAGTCGAGACCCGCCGTTCCCTCGACGTCTCCTCAATCCTATACAAATGAGCTACGATCGTCTGGAATAGCGACATACGTGCCTGCTCAAAAACCAGAATGGAAACGTTACAAACAGTACACGCGAAACGACATAATGTCAGCGATAGAAGCTGTTCGAAATGGTATGAGTGCCTTGCAGGCTGCGAGAAAGTACGGAGTTCCGTCCAGAACGCTTTATGATAAAGTGAAAAAACTAGGGATAACGACAAGCAGGCCGTTCAAAAGAGGCTCGAATGGTAGTAGCGGCTGCTTTCCGTATGGTATAAGTGGCACTAGTTCACCTTATGGAGCCCTTTCGGAAAACGAGGATCCTGGTGTAAGTAATCATCCGGCTTTACTGGAAGCAAGCCATTTTTTACACGCTCTTGATGGAAGAGGAAACGACGAAAGGGAAGCTTTAGCGGCTATGGCTGTTGCCGCTGCTGCTCATGCTGTGGCTACTAGTCATTCTTCAAGTCCAAATACTAGAGGCGATAGGAGCCCTAGTCCGACCATGATGAAATACATGCACCACAGTAACATGTCTCCGTCTTCAGCACACGGTAAGTACTCATACCGATGCATTTCCACATATTTTACATTTTGGGTTTGTTGAAAAAATTGAATTGCTACAGAATCGAATGATGATCCCCACACAAATGGAACCTTCAAAACAGAGCATGATGACGATGATAATCAAGTAGAAGACTTATCGATGGGACGCAAACAAGAATCTCGCGTCATCATGCCTCCCATGAATCAGGTCTCGACGATCATAAAAAAGGACGAAATTGTAAAAGATTTGAGAGACGAGGGTAGAAGGGAAGTAGGAATGGACGAAGTAAAATAGCCTTTGGGCACTTGTTCTCAATATATTTTTTCCGGTTTCGAACCAGTGTCTCCGATACTTTAAATATGTAAAGCAAAAACGGTTACTGATGCTTGGACTGTATTCAGTGCAATATGTATTACCTGTGGTGTCTACCCGTACTCACCTATTTAGACGTAGGTAATATAGAAACTATTAGAATTTAATGATGCAGTGTGCCTAAACATAATAAGTGTTAGGGATCAGCTAATCTTGCTACAAGTTCCTCACACCAAACGTAACTTATAAGACTGATAGGTTTATGACCAATTTTTATTGAGACTGATTTCTGTAGCGAGTTGGTTACATTCAGGCTAATCCCTTTAGCAAATAACGTTGTAATCAAATCAATAAAACAAAAAAGAACTAAGAAGCATATCAGAGAATCATTTCAAATTAAATAATTTTAGGAAACCGTAGAATAATTAACGAAGGACTTCTTTCTGATTAAGCCTGTAGTGTGGATTACTTTTAAAATTGCTTTCCCGTGTGTGTAGTCACTCGNCCGTACTCACCTATTTAGACGTAGGTAATATAGAAACTATTAGAATTTAATGATGCAGTGTGCCTAAACATAATAAGTGTTAGGGATCAGCTAATCTTGCTACAAGTTCCTCACACCAAACGTAACTTATAAGACTGATAGGTTTATGACCAATTTTTATTGAGACTGATTTCTGTAGCGAGTTGGTTACATTCAGGCTAATCCCTTTAGCAAATAACGTTGTAATCAAATCAATAAAACAAAAAAGAACTAAGAAGCATATCAGAGAATCATTTCAAATTAAATAATTTTAGGAAACCGTAGAATAATTAACGAAGGACTTCTTTCTGATTAAGCCTGTAGTGTGGATTACTTTTAAAATTGCTTTCCCGTGTGTGTAGTCACTCGTATGGAAAACCAATCAAAGTTAAACTCGACTGGCCTCTTACATAGCACTGCATTTGAAATGTATAGATAGTTTATGGTTAAAATATAAAAATTGTTGCACGATACTAAAAATTAAAGTGCTTTAAAGTAATTTATCAAAACCGCAATCCAAACGAAACTATTAATCACATAAAAAAGTATGTTAAATATGCGTATATTTTTTTTAAACCGGTGTAATGTTAATTTTAGTTATGATACTTTCATCCTTTAAGAAAATGTAAATAGCTGTTGTTATTCTGCGGAGGGTTGTTAACCTTGTGAAGCACTATTTGTTATTTATTTTTTTGTTAAATACTGTGCCAGTTCACTTTCTACTTCAGTTCAAACTAATGAATTACCTAAATGTACAGTCGTTGAATATCAAATAATGGTGTTGTTAGAATAACTTTTAAAAAGTTTTTCAGTTACCCATACACTTACCTCATTTCGGTGCAATTTAAATACCTTACCAAACATATGCCATTTTGCCTTTTCACATTTATGGTGCCTTAATTTGTATGTTCACGCCCATAAAATTAATGTTAATATATCGTTTAGTAATACTACCACGTTATATTTTAATCAGTTATTGTTAAAAAATATGTAATTACGTATTTACAGGAGAATGGGCGCGCCTTATAATAGTAGTATAAAAATATTTAAAATATAAGACGTTTCTTTTACAGATTTCAAAGTCAAATGAAACAATCGATCATGATTATATTCGGTATTCAAAATTTTGTTCCATTCGCTTAATTTTTGGATGTAATTCGTCCCTAAAATTTCGTTAAACGTTGGGCAAGTTAAACAGTTATAAATAAAACTTTTTAAAACAAGTTTTTACTAAACACAAAACTAAATAAAAAAATGTGATGATTATTATTATTCATGTTAAAAGATATGGATTATGTGGTTTTGGGTTATTTATTTTAACACATGACAGTTACGTATTTAAGTAATTAATTGATGTATTAATTAGGCGGTAAATGTATAGTTTTGCCACTATTTTGTGTATTTTTTTGGCTGCATAATTGAATTATCTTTATAATAACAAGTAAAATCTGATTGAATTAAGTAATTAATTTTATAAACAGAAGCCAAAAGATTGCACATGTGGTTGTTATAGAATAAGCGTCCTTATTTTATTACGAAAAAAACTTTTAACTTGCATTTCAGCGTTTTGTGTTGCACTTTAAATGTTTAGAGCACCTATCTAGTACTCGTTGATTTCAGTTTTTCTTGTAGCTGTGATTTGTTAGACTGATCGTGAGACGAATGACGCATAATATAGATATTACTTTTTTGATTTCAAACCAATATACTTGTAACAGACTGATTATCTAGTCGGCATCTTAAACTGCAGCTCAAACATAAACAGGCGAAGTGCAATGTCCAATTAATAATGCAGTTGATGTACTGACACATTAGAAAGTAAAACGGAAACTTTAAACGACTAATTTTTCTGTTTTATTTAGTAATGTACTAAAAGACTGATTTCTTATTAATAGTAATACTTTATAATGTCAATTAACAAGTACTAATACCGTTACCGCTTACGATATGGAAATCATTTTGAATAAAGCATTTTCATTAACTGGAAAAACTACTGCCGCTGCAGATTGTCTAACTTTAATTTTCCATAAAGTCCAATGAAAGATTTGTGGTTATTTCACATGGATTCGGTTCATTACAACTTTAGAGCATTATTAAAAAAGTAAAAAGCGTTTAATTTAAATAAATGATTGGACATAACGTCGTGCGACTAATGTATGATTCTAAAATTGTTCGTTCATTATTTTCTCAAATTCGAAATACAAATTGTTTTATTTCGACATCGAAATAAGACTAATTTCAAATGCAATAACAATGTTAAATATTTGAATTAATTAAGCAAAACTAGTTTCGTATTTTCAGTTATTTCTTTGATTACTAACATTAAATTGTTTCCTCGTATCGTATCGTAAGCCTNATTTTAATAAATTGCATAAAATAGCTATATATAAACAAATTACCTTACTTTTCTATAGCCTGTATAATAAATGAGTAAGTACCTAGAGATAATAGTCGATGCTTTACTAATCTACCTCAACAAATTTATGATTATGTATTGTAAATAGTTATAACTTCTTCATATATAAATATATAAATAAAATGTTTTTATGTTTAGGGATAGAGTTGAGCGCTCATAGTTTTTCTACAAATTATCTAAAATTTTAAGATTTGATATGTTCTTGTATATTGGCACAGCACCCGTGTAAAACAATATTTTATGAAATATACAAACATCTTCTGTATTTTGCGTTATTTACATACTCACATCCTTAGGTAAATCTCATATGCAAAAAAAGTTAAAAAGTTTATTTTAAATTTGATCACATCAAATTGATTTTTATTGTTATATTATCCACAGTTAAAAATGGAAGCACTTTTTCGGTGTAAATGATAGTAACTTCCCAATAAAACTCATGTTAAAACACACAAGCTTTAACAGTAGTTCATTTAAACAGATTAACATGATATAAAATAAAGAAAAATGGAATGTACTCGCATATTTTCAAATTATTCTTTGAGAAGTAAACGGTGGCGACATCCAGCACTAGGAAATAAAAGTACTAAGGGGTGGAAAATGCTCACCGGTTATTTCTGACCACGCAGTTCGCAATATAAAATAACGGATGGAAAACGCTTACCGGTTATTTCCGACCATGTGGTATCTCTCAACGACTATTATTGCATTTGATAATCTCATCTAAAATAAAGGAGAAATTTTCAAAATTGGTATATACGCACATACGCCAATAAACAAAAAATAAAAATAAGGCAGTGGTTTTAAAAAATTTGACATCCTGTAAATTTTTCATGTAAGATTGGGTCGGGGGTGAAAGGGTAATTAATCATCTTTGGGGATCAGTAGGCCTATTTGTGGTTAATACCTCGCTTAAAAAACCAACCCCCTACCCTTATCACTTTACTTGTTTAATGTCATATTTAAAAACGGCTATTGGAAAAAGTATTGAAAATTGGTACTTATCTAAACAAATTATGCATCAACGATATAGTAATTGTATTTGTGAAAACGGTGATTAATACAATTAAACTACAATTTGTAATATAAAAATTTTCTTAGATGAAACTCAATAGTATTCATGAACAAACCACAAAATATTGCTTAGCAACAATTATTTAATTAGCGATAATGTTGAAGACAATTGTTTAAAATTTGGTTACAAGGTCTTACATATTTTTAACTGAAGTTGCTGAAAAGTATACAGTTACTAATTAAGATTGTTTAGTTAATTTTTATTGTAAACTATGGTTTGAATGCCATTCGTAAAAATATATCTACATTGTCAGTAATAAATTTTGGTGGAGGTGCCGGGACAATTTGAAGTAAAGTCTATAATTGAGCAAGAATTTATGTTTCATTGAAGTAGACTGATCAACTTTTGCAATTAAATTATATACCACACATGTAGATGCAGTTACTTCGAACAAACCCCAAAACATACAAAGTAATAATTAATTGATTAGTAATTTCGGTAAGGATTTTGTCCATTATTTCGTTGAAAACAGTTACACATTCTTTTAAAATTTAATTACTATTTAAAAGAGTTGTGTTTTCCATGCACACAGTATTTATCATGAAAATCCGAAATAAAAATTCTGAGCCCGTTAAAAATTACTAATTGTCGGGAGTTTCTTAAGAACAGTAGTCTGTTTAAGGCGTTGGAGTTCACGTCCTATTTAAAAACGGCTTAAATTATTGAAAAGGGCACTTTTCGGTACGTATAATGGCCGTCTTAAAAAACCAAAAGAAGTTTTCTAAGTCCATTAATATTGCTGGGGAAGGTTACCTAATTTTCTGAGTTTCTTAAGAAGATACGTCTCTTTAAGGCGTTGCAATTCACTTGTATAGAGTCCTATTGAAAAACCAACTACACTTTTTAAAAGATCAATTTCCTTTGCATGCAACGCGTTTCTTGAAAATTCAAAATAAACCTTCCAAACTTGCATTAGAAATGCAAGCGAAAACTACCTATTTTTCCTAATAACATACGTCTCTGAAAAGCGCTCCAGTTACACGTGTTCAAAGTCCTAGTTAAAAACTATTTAAACTACATACCTATTAAAAATAGTATGTTTCGGTGCATAAAACTTCTGAACCCATCAAATATGCAGGCGAAAATTATCAATTTATCTGAAGAACGTACGTCTTTTTAAGACGTTTCACTTTAGTTGTTGAATGCCCTATCTAAAAACGGCTCAAATTATTGAAAATAAAAATTTGAGGGCCTGTAACAAAATTCCAAACCACAACTTTTAAATCAATTAAAAATTAATTATCATTGTAAAGTATCGTTTACTATAATTATCATTCATCAATAATATCAATAAAAATTTATTGTAAATTTTGGTGGAGGCGCCGGGATAATTTAAGACAAAGGCTCTAATTAAGCTACAATTCAAATTTCACTGAAGCAGATTGCTGAATTGTTATCTTTTAATTATTTTATTTCATGTAGAAGCAGTTTAGGATGCTAATTTATATTTATGCAAATATACCACAATTTGTAATGTAATATATATA